CTCCAGAAGCATCCTTTCACTTGTGTAGATAGTACACATCACAAGACAGACTGGAGGTGGCACAGGAAAAGATTGTTGATTTGCAACCTAAGGATTAGGTGAACATGGAGCACCTTTCCTGAATCTATGCCCAGCTGGCATTAAACACTGTGGGTGCTCCTCTGGTCCAGATTCTGCTGTGTCCTCATGACTGTTGTGTCCCCCTGCCACTCTGCCCTCCCTACCACAACTGTGAGATGAGCATTGAGGTCTATTTATGTACATCACTAGATGTGCCAAATTGGCCTACCTGAGTATCAGCCTGTGCCCAGTAAATTGTCTGGTAATACTCATAGTCTTTTTGTCTTTTAATGCCAGATATGCTCTACCTTTTTTGAGGCTCCTACATTGCTAAATTCTCCAGTATAAGCAGGTGGTTTACATGCTGGGCAGATCACAAATGTGGAATTTCTACTCTAGGCATACTCAGCCAGTAATTCATGGGCTGAAATGGACCCATGACTGCTTCCTAGAAAATTCTGATGTCCTGTTCAGAGTGGAGTTTGTAACTTTACTTTGCAGTCATGGAAATTTAAATTTTTGGTTTTATTGGGGGTTTGTGTTTAATTTTTTAATACACTATTTTTGATATTGAACTCACCTTGAAAATATTCTAGTAGTCTAATAGAATTCTGTCTTGATACAGTGAATACAAACATTTCCTGCTGTGTTGATTAGAAAGAAGAGCAGGCATTTCTTATATCTAGTGGCATATGGTGCTAAAATTTTATCATGCTACCTTATAAAGAGCCAGGAAACTTCCTCTGCTTAAAAGTATGTGTTTATAAATATGCTTACAATGAATATTCCCATCTGTTAGGTGAACATCCTTTGTGTAGGAATTCTGGTAAGAGGTAGAGGACTTTGCAACTCTTTGTAGACTATTTTCCCTAGTGAGACATTAGACTAAAGAGATGATAGAAAACAGCATATGCCTAGTATTCAATTTTGTATCTGTTTCTCTCTGTTGTCTGAAAGCAATGTTATTTTTGTGCATTAATACATAAGATTATTATAGAAATTCATAAGAATTTAACGTCTATTTAGGATACTAAAAGAAAAAGACAGAGCAAAAGTTATCTATGGTTATATTTAATGAAAAATTGTCTTTGTAGCATTGTAAATTCATACTTCAATGACTGGTCCTATTTCTTTTCTGTAAAATTTGTTGATTTTGTTTTAATCTCAAAACTCCTCTTTATTGTAATCACAGCATATAGTAATCAAAGCCGCTCACCTCCTATCCCTGTTTGTAATTTCATTAAGTGACATTGACTCTTTGTGTTTCCTTTGATATTATTCTGATTGTCCTCATTAATTAATTTTCAGGTGAACTGTTCCTTACAATAGAAGAAAAATTTTTAAGATAAAAACTTAAAATTTTTTATTAACAAAAAGCCTTTATCAGTCCTTCCTGGGATCTCAAGACAGGTTATCAGAGGAAAAACATACTTTGATTAATACTTACTTAATATTGAATTGTCCAATCTAAATTTTTATTAACTTAAAAATCATTCCTATCAGTTTCTTTTTTGGGATGACTAATTGGACATGCTTGAATAAAAAGATGAACAATTAGTTGAATATAAATGATTCAAGGTATGCTTGAGAACTGTGCAAATAATGCATGCCATACACTGTCTTTTACTTGATCATTAATGAGCTTTCACTGATTATATTTTGTAAAAGGACGTATTTTTAAATCTGTAGACACCTATTAGCTATGTGTCATTTTTGTATGAAATAGTGTTTTCTGTTTTTCAGAAAATAAACTCTTATGTGAGTGGGTTTGAGCTCTCTTTTCTTTCTTATAATGAGCACCTTCCCATAGGTGAAGTGCCCAGGGCTCAATTCGTACTCTTAGGTTTTTTGTTTTTGTTTCTGTCTTCATAGATTATCTATTTTCTTCATTTACATGTGCATCCATTCACTTTTGAAAAATTTCTGTGGTACTGAGGTACTCAGATCCCTCAATATGTACTCTCTACCATGGAGCTCCGTCCGCAGCTCATACTTTTTTGAAAAAAAAAAAAGGTGACATGATTGACATACAAAAAACTGTACATGTTTAGTGTACAGTATACACCCATGAAACTATCATCACAATTTATAATATAAAGCCTCCTCATCACCTCCAAATATTTCTTCGTATCCTCTTTATTCATCACTATTTTTGTATAAGTACATGTAACAAAAGACCTATCCTCTTAACAAATTTTAAAATACAAAATTCTGTATTGTATCCTTTCAATTTTTTCAATTTTAATATTTTTATTGGTATGTATCTACTGGACATAATGTCTACAATCTTTCTGGAACATTGGTACATGTACATAAAATACTCCTATCATCCTTTTCTGCCTTTGATCTCTTAGTCCCTTCTTATCTGCAATTATTCCTTCTTATTATCTTCTATTTTGCACTTTATTTGTATTTTGAGTTTCACATATAAGAAAAACCATGCAATATTTGAGCTCATGTGTCTGATTTATTTCACTTAAATTTATGATTGCAAGGTGTCTCTATTTTCCTACAAGTGACTTGAGTTTATTCTTTATGATAGGGTAGAACTACATTATATCTAAATACCACAAGGCTTTTTTTAAACTTGTCTGTTGATGGACGTATAAGCCACTGCCAATATTTAGTTATTATGAATATTGTTTACTGTAGGTACTCTGCCATACAGTAGGCATCTAGGACTTTTTCAACTTATATAGTAGACATTTTGTTTTCTTATTTCCTCTCCCACCAGACTCTGATAGCTACCATTGTAATCTGCTCAATGATCAGCCACAGGGAGATAGGAAAATACTACATGATAATAACTTGCAAGAACTTAAAGTAGTTTAACCATAGAATCAGGTTGTCTTGCAATTTTTTCCATATTGTTAAAATGTTACTTTCTTTTTTAACACTATGTAATTCCCTTCTATGTATAGTTGGTAATCAAAATATACTATGTTGAAGTAAAAAAATTATCATAGTAAAATACATTTTTCCATTAATCCTCCTCAAAGTACTCCTCCTGTTTTGAACACACTAAATCCATTGTTTTTGCCACTTTCTGAAGCAGTTCTGGAAGTCCTCTTTTGTTAGTATTTTTAGGAAGTACGAGCCCAAGTCAGTGAATGCTGTTGCTGAGTCATCCAACTGAAAGGCAACTGAAAAGCACATTAAAAGCTAACAGTACATCCTCTTCCACATTGTTCACCAAATCTGGCACCATGTGACTTCTAGCTATATTCCAAAGTCAAAATAATTGTGAAAGGTGAAAGTTTTGAATGGAGATTCAGGACATGGTGGTAGTCGCATCACTACCAACCAACAAGCAAAAATGTAAAAGGACTTCAAGAAATACTTCAGAAAGTGACCAGAACAATGGGCTAAGTGTACTCACAGCAAGGGGGACCATTTTGAAGGAGAATATGGCCAGTATGTCTTTCCCTGTAGTAAATGTTTGAAAATTTAAATATTCACCTTTTTTTTTTTGATGACATGTCTAAAACCACTCACCTGTTCATAGGTGCTTTTATTATTTCCCTTTTGTGGTGGTTATAAATCTACAATGAACATGGGAAAGCAGGTATTTTTTCAAAAACTTGATTTCAATTCCTTTGTGTTTTACCCAGAATCTGGAATACTGAATCACATTTATTGTAGTTGTGTTTCATGGTTTTTGAGCATCCCTCAGCCTATCCCCACATTCTATAGTGGCTACAGCCAGGTCACATTCCCACAATGTTCAAGGGTTTTCTTTTCTCCATACCCTTGCCATCATCTGTGTGTTGATGGACAGCCTAACAAATTTGAGAAGATAACTCATTATGATTTTGGTTTGCATTTTCCTAATGATTAGTACTGTTCAGCAACTTTTCATTTACCTGTTGGACATTTATCTCTGTTCTTTGTTTGTGAGCATGGTCTGAAAACTAATTAATGTACCATCTCAGATAGCTTTGCAATTGTGGGGTCAGGAAGTGTGGAGCTTTCTCCAACTTGTCATTAGTTATATATCCTTAATTGTTGTGTATTTTAAAATATTCTAAATTATAACACTAGCAACAAACCTAAAGCCAACCTTTTACAGAAACCGTATCTTTTAATTATGTCTTTTCTTTGAAAATATACTACAGTTTTTACAAAGCTATGGATTTGGAAGATGATTACTTATGTCTACAAGAGTAGTAACTACACATGAAATGACTTTTCTGCCATTTTAAAAAATTAAATCAGTTAGGCGTGGTAGCACATGCTTGTAACTCCAATACGTGGGAGGCTGAGGCAAGAGGATCAATGTGAGTTTGAGTCCAGCCTGGGCTACAAAAGAAAGTTCAAAGCCAGCTTGCATATAATGAGAGCCTATCTCAAAAAAAAAAAAAGTCAATGTCAGGCCACATGTGGAGAAGTGAGAAAAGGAGGTATGTAAATTACTTAGGGAGAAGCTCACATTAAGATGGATAGAGAAGTGATTCCTAGGATGACTATATCTCATCCTGAAAGTGATGTTTGAACTTTCATATACAGTAATGGAACACTTTGTGTTAAGGTTATCACCAAGTCCAAAAGTCATTTTTAGAAATTCTGAGGTTCTTCAGAAAGTTAAAAGAAATAATTTTTATTGTGAAATAACATTTAAATGGAGTTATCTTTAATAACTTACATTTTGCTGCAACCTTTTATAAATAATGCTTACCTTGCACAAGATACTGTCCCAGACACCAGGATTGAATGGCAAATAAAAGACATGCATCCCAGCTTCATGTGCTATTGGCAGCCTAATTAGGAGGCAGATATTGATGAAATAATCTCAGAAATAAATCACAATTGGTATTGCCTTGGACAGGGAAGGATTGTGTAGTTCTTAGGTTATATAAATAATGTATGTTGAGCACCTATTGTATAAGATATACATTCCATTCTAGATGTGACCTTTAACACTTCTTTTTGCTATTTGGCAGGTACATTATTTCATCGTTACAGAAGCATGATGCTGGGTTTTACCGCTGTGTGGTGCGAAACAGAATGGGAGCGCTGTTGCAAAGAAAATCAGAAGTTCAAGTTGCATGTATGTGTATAGTTTAGAGACTTCCCAGATTGACAAATAAGACAAAGCAATTGTGGGGAGCAGTTCACAATCACTTTCAACCATTATAGGCACTGATAAGTTATCATTGGTTCAACCAGAATAAAATGATTGCTAAAGCTGGTAAGAGACAGGAAAGGACTGTGTAGGCAGATTCCACTTTTTCCAACCGAAAGGATGAAGGGTCTTTGTACGACCCTGGGGAGGATCAGTGGAAGAATCAGGTGACTTCAGTCTTATGAATCAGTTAGCCTTCTCTTAGTTGGGATTCAAAATGTTTGTACATTTAGAAAAGTTAAGCCTAATTAGGTCAAATTACATCAGTTTGCAAGAAGTTATTTCCAATGATGACATGTTTAGAAATCTTTTTGCTTGACTACAAAAAGTACATAGAGCATTGATGTATCAGTTGTTATAGATTTATAGCAATTTATTCTTTATTCATCAGGCCCATTTTAGAGAATGAAACTTTTAAAAGTAACTGCAAGAGTTATTAAAATTCAGGGAGCTTGAAGGTTTTTTTTTTTTTTTTAATCCGTACCAGGGATCGAACTCATGACTGCCTGCTTGCAAGGCAGGTACTTATGCCACTGAGCTCAATCCTCAGACCCCGGAGCTTGAGTTTTAATGTCATCTTCAGGAGGAAGAGGTCAGGGAATTTGGCTTCTACATTTTTTCTCTTTTCATAAACTGAAATCTGTGAAGAGTAGAATCTATCTACAGTGGACTATCTGCTTTATTGTGTTTCATTATCCTACTGAAATGTTTCTCTGCTTAAAAGTAAGCAAACGGTGTTCTGAGATACTAAATTATGACTTCAGGGAAAACTGTCCAGCTTCTAGGTTGGGCTGTGCTATTTGATGAGGACAAGATTTTCTCACTGGTTGTTTTAACTCCAGTTAAAGCCTGTAGCTTTGTGTTAATATATAAAATAAAATAGCTCCTAGTTATTTTACATTTCTACCCTAAATGTTAAGGACTGTGTAAGGCATTGATACTATACATGTTGAATTATGTTTTAAATCACTAGGAGGACATACATTTTTCTGAATTGTAATGATGAAGTCACTCAACTAATAGTGCAATTGAAAATATAATAAATAGAGTGCCAATCAATACCGAAAGCATATTTGAGGAAGTTAAGTTCCTAGAACTTATTATATTAAATTCTATTTTATATGTATGTGTTTGGACTTCTCTTTGCTTCATTATGTATATATTTGATTCTACCTTTCATGTCTGTTGCTCAGATTTTCTCTTAACTTCCTTTTCTTCATCCATTTGATAATAAATTTTACTTTATCTTAAAGTAACCATGTGTATTTTCTTAATCTGTTTCATCTTTTCCCTCAAATAGTACACATTGTCCTACAAAAATGAATTTGAATGGGAAAGCCATCAATAATAAAGCTCTTTTATGGAAGATCTCAAACTTACCTACATTTAAAAATAATATTTTGCTATATACTAAGTCACCAATTTATGATTGAGTTCCATCCTGGGAGAACTTCCATACATTGGATTCTTTTGTAATCCAGCAAAGTAAGTCTTATACAGTACCCTTGTGAATATTATACAGCATATCTGTGAAAGTTCACAACTCAAATAGTTGTAAGTTGGGAACTCTGTATATCTATGTGTATCTTATCATAATAGGATACATCTGTATTTTATCACAATAGGAAAGCTTTTTCAAACATTTCAAGCTATCAGGTTAAAATTAGTTGTTTATGTCTACAATGTAATGGCTGTATTTTTTCCTGTAATCTAATTTTTTTAATGTTTTTAAGTGGTAGAACAATGATTGGCTGTGCAAAATTAAGTCAGTGGTGCAAGAGTGGATGAGAACTCACTATATACTGATTAGTGGTGAAAATACTGCTCCTAAAAGATCTGGTAGGAAGGCATTCACCATAGAAGTGAAGAGGAGGAGAAACCCAGCAGAGCAAAGGCCTGAGTTGGGGAGCTAGCTGAAAAGCCTATAGCTGGGAGATACCTGGAAGCATTTTATTAGTGTTTTTGTGAAATCTGCTTCCTGTGGCAAGAGGATACTTTTTAGCAGTTTATTTCAGTACACAATCAGAGGCAATCATTCCATTGTATTTTTACAGTACGATGAAGACTGTGAGGCTCTGCTGATTAAACTGCTTCTTTGCCTCTCTGAAGATGGAGGGCTCTACCTGTGCTTTACTCACAGCCTGATCAGCACTCCTTAATGCTGCCATTCAGTCCTGCTTGTCTTCTTGTTAGCATATAGCATCACCACTGACTTTACCATGAAATATAGTTATTTCCATTTCTGAGCCCCACTCCCCCTAACAAGAGTGTTTTCTACAACCTAAATGGTCTCATTTTTCTCTGCAGATATGGGAAATTTCATGGACACAGACCAGAGGAAAATGGTTTCTCAAGGACATGCAGCAGTTCTCAACTTACTGCCCATCAATAGCTGCCCCAGACCTCAAGTAACTTGGTTTAGAGAAGGGCACAAGATTATTCCAAGCAACAGAATGTAAGTTGCTCTGAACATTAAAGCCTCAGATACAATTAATTACAGTTGCTCATATCATTTGCATAGTAAGTGAACCCATTAAGGTTAGCAGTGATTTTAAAACAACCACCTAGTCTAGAAGGCTTACTTCAGTCCGTAATAAAAAGCTATTTGTGTACTATCTTTGTTGTTTTAAGCGGCTTAAACAAGTGGTCATGTAATGTTATTCTTCAGCATGCTGTGTGCCCAGGACCTAAAGCACCCTTACTTTATAGTTCATTCTTTTCTGCTTTTAAATATACTTTTAAACATGTCATTGTAATCCCAGAATTGTGTTTAGCTTCAAGTACTGATTTAACAAGGGCTGATATTTACCTATACAGCTGCAGATCCCTTCCCCCTTTTATTGAACCATGCTTGGTAGCACTTTCTCTGACTATAAAACAGTAATTACTGTTTATTTCTCTTTATCCTTTTATCCTACTATGACAGTTTTATTTCCCTTTGTCTAATTAGTGGCTTGCCTATCTATTGCAGAATTGTTGCTTTGAGATTAGTTAAACATTATTTCTTTTTTTTTTTTTTAGTTAAACATTATTTCAAGGTGTTCTTGCCTATTGTACATTCAAGATATTTATCTACTGCCAAACAGATTTTTTTATTTGGATCTTTTATGGTCAAAGTGAACACTTGGTATATATTGCACGATTAGGCATTTTACAATCACATTTAAAAATGATATTCCAAATATAAAGATTTTGAGGTTGAAAATTTCCAAACAATCATGAAATATTATAAGCTTAGGATAAAAGTTGTGTATTTATACTGTCAAGTGGTTGTACTTGGATAAAATTTTATGACAGGAAAAGGCTCTTGTTTTGTTTTTTTGTTTTATTTGACAAAAAGGATATCTGTGAGCCAATTTTCTGGGTAGGTTTCAAATAAAATTATGAAAGTGCAAGAGATTTAAACCTGTGTTTTCGCCGCCCAGAGCACTCATGGGACCTCTTCTTGAAACCCAGTGTTATCATTTGTCCACCTTGGAATTTGAATCCTGCTTGAAATTGAACTATTCCTAAGGTCATTCAGCAAATGTTTCCCTTTGTTATTAGAAATAGGAAAAAAATTGAAATATATGTAAAGGCTATATTTCAAAATTTGAGTAAAAACACTAATTATCTTAGAAAACAACATACAATCCTTTTTATTTTGTTAAATGTTACTTAGATATCCACCTTTATATTGATTCAGTCATAATAGATGCCTCTTGAGTTTTGGTGGAACAAAAATGAAGAATCGATATCTCTTTGCCTCAGGAGAGACTATTAGGCTGAACGAAAGGTAGTTAAGATATATTCTTATGTAAGTGTTTCAGAATGTTCCAGTGTAAGTGCAGAAATGGCAGGTGAAAATGTAATAAATGCGGGGGGAGAATTGGTACGGGGAATGGGGAGATAATATTATCTATCTGTTCTCTCACAAATGTCAGTGTAAAATGCCTCATGCATCTTAGGTGGGGCTTTTGAAAGGGACTGAATCATGGATGTGTGATACTGGGTTAGTCCACTTATTAGAATAGTTCTGGGTATAGGTGATACATTTACTAAAGAAGGAACACTCAACCTAGATATAGGCGGCACCAACCAGTAAGCTTATAGCCTGGATGGAATAGAAAGGGAAAGAAGGAAGCCTACAGTTTTCTGTTTGCCTTGCCATGGGCTATTTTTCTGCTGCCATACAGGCCTGCCTTGGAACCAGCCAACTATGGACTGAAACCTCTACAAACTGCGAGCTAAAGTTATTCTCCTTTAGCTTGTATATATAAGGTATTTTGCCCCAGTAATAAGAAAATTACGCAGGAGGTATATTAAATTAGGCTTTCTCTCAAATTCTTGGAGCTCTTAGTTAATATCAATGCCAGCAAAATTAATAGTGGAATGATTATTTTTACTTGTAGCAAATAAGTGTAAGTTAATTCATTTGCTAACCTTGTGGTCTAGCTATGATCATGAAACATTTATTCAAGTATGAAAACATATTTAATGAAAACATTTTAATTTCATAAACATTTTTAAATTTGCAAATTCATAGTAAAGATTTTAAAGGGCTATAGTATATAATGATGCCATTAGAGCTTTAATTTAGTATACAGTTTTAAAAAGCATTTTTTACAATTGCACAACTGTTGATAAAATCTCCAATCACAGTGAAATAATTGATGGTCTCTCTTTTTTTGAAAGAGATCAAATGAGGCTGATTACAGATATTTATACTTCTGCAAGGCCCTTTAGTTTTATATTTTCCACCTCATCATCACCTCACATTTATTAAGTACCTTCTATGAAAGATATCATAAATCAGTATGTCAGTGGTATTCTCCACAAGTTTATATGTCAAAAATATAGTGCTTTCAACTTCCTAGAAAATCCTGCTTTTTGAAAAATTGAACCCATGGCTTCACATGTGCAAGACAAGTGCTCTACCACTGAAATACATTCCAGTCCTTTTTATTTTGAGAGAAGATCTCATAAATTTGTCCATGTTGGCCAAAAACTTGTAATTTTCCTGCTTCAGCCTCCCAAGTACCTGGGATTATAAGTTTGTGCCATTGTCCCTGGAAAGTTTTGCTTTTGATTGACGATAGAAAGACATTTCTGTGTTGTTCATGCCATGGAGTTGTCAGGCAAAAGTCAGGTGGCTTATATCAGTTCTGCACTGCCAGAAGTGTCTTTTAAATCTGAAACATTTGAGCCAAAGTGTGTCCATTAGGCATACTGAAACACAAATGCCTGCAGCTGCTTTTAGCTTCTCTATCCTAGGACAATTCTCTAAGACAGCAGCGGGATAGTTCTTTGTCCTGGTTGAGAAACTTCAAAGATGCAGAAGAAAAAGTCCCTTCTTCTATATTTTTTAACATTACTTCATGATCTTTAGAAGCTGAACTTTAGGCTTATAGACAATTATTTTTTCGCAAGAGAAATAGGAAGCCTGATGCTTCCCAATTTGAAAAATTAATTACATAGCCTATTAATAATCCTAACATTTATTATTTATTGAGTACTTACTTGAAACATATCTTCTCTAATTCTCAGCATTGCCTTCTGAGGCAGGTATAATTACCTCCACTTACAGCTATCGGAACTGAAAATTAGACATGCTATTTTTTGCATAAAGAAATTTTATTGGAGTATATAAAGCATTATATAACCTGAACCAGTAGCAGAGGAATCAACAATAACTCAAGAGATCCAGGAAGGAAGCCAAGCCCCTGTCTTTGAGCCAGCTGGAACATGGACTGGGGAGAACCAGGAAGGAAGCTTAAGTCCCCACCTGTGAGCCAGCCAGAGTGTGGACTGGGGAGAACCAGGAATTCAGCTAAGCCCCTGCCTGTGAGCCTCCCAGCACGTGGGCTGAAAAAAGAACAGCCCAACTAGGAACAACTGGCTGATTCAGAGGAATTGTATTGTTTGATTGACTTTGCAAAGTCAGTAGTCCGAGCAACTAGTTAGAGGACAATATGCAATATAGTAACTATTATAGACTTCCTACTGTCTTTTCACTGTTTTGATTCATTTTATTGTTTTCCCTTTAAATCTAAAAGTTTAAGAAATTTAAAATAAAAGCTAGACAGGGGATTCTATATGCAAAAGTCTTAAAGGAAGAAAGTATTGCAACCTCAAGGAACTAAATGGATGTTCCTTGATATGCTGTCAACTACAAACTCAAGTAAACAATATACTACACAATCTAGCTAAGAATATGCCACTGTGACAAATACTTAGTATCTGAGTCGTGTGATCACCTCTTCAGAGACTATGTATGATTTCTCCATCTTAAAAAACAAATCCAAACAACAAAAACAAAAGAACAGTAATTCAAGCTCCTTCCTATTTTAGGAAGCAGAACTAAAATATTCATAATGAGGGTCTCTGAAAGATACCAATGTCCTAATTCCTGGACCTTGAGGACGTATTAGCTTATGTGGAAGGGGAGAATTAAGGTTGCAGAAGCAATAAGGAATAACTAATACAAAAAGACAAAAGAAAGACTGTCTTCCAGCTGGTATACTTACTCAAATACCGGCAGCGATTTCTTGCAGCATCTTGTCCAAGGGACCAATCCTTGAAAGTCAAATTCCAGATCCTGTGACCTATACATTCTAGGGGCCAAAAGTCTTATTTTCCCCAAGTTTTTCTATCTGCTCCACATATTTCACATAGAAAGGTTAAACATTCTTTCTGCAGTAATGTGGTAGATGTAACTGACTAGATCCCTCTGGACCATCTCAGCAATACTCGTTAGGGTGCTTGGGATTTTCAGATACTATTGTCTTAAGTTTCATGGCTTCATTCAGAACTCTGAGGCAAGAGAAGAAACTTTATGTAGTGTCTTGTACATTTTACCTTGAATTAATTATTTCAGTCTGTGAGTTGTGATACTCAAAATATTTTCTAACCACTGCCACTCCCCTACTCCGCCTAATGTTTTTTTGTATTGATAATTCTATCTAACCTGGGCATATGCTTAGCAGTTGTAAAGTCATGGAATGGTAAAATAATGAGTAGATGTGAAGAAAAGTCAGATGATGTCTGCAAACTTCCTCAGCAGACGGGGAAGAATGTGAGAATAACAAAGCTCGAGAAAAAAAGCTGTTAAAGCAGAAAAATATCGTGAAAGGGCAAATGATATTTTGAAAGAACTGAGAATAAGTTATACTCAGGATTTTGAATAGGTAATTATGGGTTTTATTTATCTGAGAAGATGAAAAAAATGCATGTTTATTTCTCTGATTTACTGAATCCAAACAGTTAATTTGCCATTTTTGCATATCAAAGATGACTAAAGCTTTTTCTTATAAATATAGTCTAATTTGAAAATAAAATTCTTGAATGTTATTTTGGCTTAGATATGAATTTTTTGTTCTCTGTTATTTCTCAAAGTATGAAATGAGAATCTTGATGCCACTCAGTGTTTCACTTAGCTGCAGGAGGTAATTTATGTCAGCAGTTATCAGATTAGGA